GCTTCCTTTTCCCAAATGGCCCATCCGCGCTCTGTCTCAGTGAATTTACGAGACGTATATGCGCACGGCTGCAGTAACTCCTGTTGATTTGGTTGGAGTAGGACAGCCCCTACAGCCACGTCGCTCGCGTCAGCCTGGACGATGAATGGAGCATCGGGGTTTGGATGGAGCAATATTGGCTCCTTCGCAAAAAGCGCTTTGAGGTCCTCGAATGCTTTTTGGCAGGCCATAGTCCATCCTACTGGCTGGCCAGGTCGTGGCTTACCTTTCAGGTGTTTCGTTTTTAATAGTTCTGTTAAAGGGTGAGCCACGCCAGCAAATGACGGAATAAATTGCCGGTAGAAATTGGCAAACCCGAGGAAACTTTGTAACTGCCTTCGGGTGGTAGGGGCCTGCCAATCGAGAACTGCTTTAACCTTAAGTGGATCCATTTCCACTCCTGCCTCTGATATGCGATAGCCCAAATAGTCTAACCGCGTACGATGAAACTCGCATTTGGATAGCTTGACGTATAATTTTGCCTCCAATAGTTTCTCTAATACCTGTCGTACCAAAGCAACATGCTCCTCCATAGTTGTGGTATAGATCAGGATGTCGTCAAGGTAGACGAGGACCCCCCGATAAAGGTGTTCGTGCAATACTTGGTTTATTAATTGCATGAAGACGGCAGGAGCCCCCTGTAGCCCAAAGGGCATAACACGGTACTGGAAACTCCCCAGGGGACAATTAAATGCCGTCTTCCATTCGTCCCCTCGTCGTATTCGTATTCGGTAATACGCCTCCCGCAAATCTAGTTTGGTAAATATCCTCCCTTTCCCTAATTGGGCCAGTAGGTCCTTCATAAGGGGGAGTGGGTATAAATGCTCCACGCACACAGCATTTAATCCCCAAAAGTCTTACAGAGACGTAATGACCCGTCTTTTTTTTCTCGGAACAACACGGGCCGCAACTCGAGATCGAGCTGGTTGGATGAAGCCTCGGGCCAGGTTCACATCAATGAACCGTCGCAGTTCTTCCAATTCTTTGGGTGTCATGGCATACATCTGAGGCTTTGGAAGTTTAGCCCCAGGTTCAATTTCAATGCCACAATCCGTCGGTCGATGGGGGGGTAGTTGGTTGCACTCCGTTTCACTAAACACTGCAGCCAGGTCCTGATATTCGTGGGGAAACAGGTCCTCCCCTCCCCCACTCACCCCACGCACGGGGGCCGGTGTATCCATCCCTGGAACCCGACACTGACTGGGGGGTTGAGGTCCCACCCCCAAGCATACTCTACGATACCCCCCTTCCCACCAAATAGTGGGCTCCCACTTATCCAGCCATGCCAGGCCGAGGATCATAGCCTCACTCATGGCTGGTGCTACGACGAACCGGATAGTTTCCCAATGGGCTCCCAGCTCCAACCATATGGCCTCGGTAATGTGGGTCGCCGGAGCCCCACCCAGCAAAGAGCTGTCCACTTGTTCGAACTGTACGGGCTGGGCCAACCTATGTAGACGGATCCCATGCTCCAGAGCTAACGTCCGGCTAATTAAGCAACGGGTGCACCCTGTATCTATCAGTGCCTTACATTCCCACTGTTCCCCAGAGCGGGGACTCGTTAGGACTATAGGTAGAACGAAAGGGGCTATAGGTTCGCTTACCATCGGGTCGTCGACGGGGTTGTCATCACTTTCCTCGTCGACTGGCCGATACTGCGCCGTCGCCATAGTATCCAGTGGTGTTGACGGGGTCTTCAGATGGGCTGCAGCTTTCGTCGCATCGGGACCCTTCCGAGGTGTTTGCGCTGGGGTCCTCGGGGTACCAGACGCTCGTGGGGTGGGAGCCGGACACTCGGCTGCCCGGTGTCCCGGCTGATTACACCGGAAGCACCGAAACACCGTGCCACTAGCCGGACCAGCCGGTCTGGGGTAACTAGCTGGACTAGTGGGTGGTCTCTGTCCACTCTCCCTCGGTTTCCCCACAGGTGTCCGTGCCTGACGGCTGTCCTGATTCCTCTGGGCCTCCCTGAGATTGGTATCGAGGTCCACAGCTGCGCGGAACCATTCCCGGAGGCGATTGGGAATGCCCCTGTAAATACATGTCTGGCGCAGCTCTTGATCCAGCCCGGCCCGGAAGTGATGGATTAGTGACCTATCCGGCCAGGACGAAGTGAGCCGGCCGGCTAGTCGCCGGAAGTCGCGGACATATTCCGCAACTGGTCTGCCACCCTGCCTCAGGGACAGCAGCTCCGACTCGGCCCGCTGAACCCGTGAAGAGTCCTCAAAGCGATGATGGAGTGCCTCCAGGAACGAACCCACATTACTGAGTACCCTAGCGTGATCGCTATATAGGTCGGTGGCCCAGGCCGCCACCTCTCCTTGTAGCCCCGCTGTAACACCCACTACCATGGCCCATTGGGACGGGTATAAATGGCCATAGCGGTCCAGGTGGCTAACCACGTGGCTTAAGAACATTGCCAACCTGTCCGGATCTCCGTCAAAAGTAATGGGGAGGGCTGGCGGGCCCCATTGCGCCGGCGGCACTACCCCACCACCTCCGGCTGATGTGGCTGGACCAAGCACCGCAACTGGACTGTGTGCCCTCCTGCCAGAAGGCTGTGCCCAGCCGACAGGGCCCATGCCAGTATGCCACGGTGCCGGACGCGGAGGGCCTGTGGAATCCATCCCAGAAATTGCAGGCCCCACTGTCAAGGCATCCCCCTGCTGGGGTAGTCGAAACCGCGGACTGCTCAGCCAGAATTGCGAGGTGTCCGCCCGTCCAGAAGTGCCCTCTGATCGTTGACGTGAGGAACGGCCCTGGCAGCTGCCCTCACCGAACCGTTCACGTAGGACATCCAATGTGTATTCTCCAGGAGCGGTGGAGTAGCTCCATTCATCCTCATCCTCGCCCGTTAATCGCCTCTCCCTCCAACCCAGCAGGGACGGCCTACCCGGCGGGCCGCGGGACTGCCCAGCCTCCAACAATGTCAATGCCGGGCTCTGCCACCACTCCTCCCTTGGCTTGACAGCCCCAGCCTCCGTGGTTACCACCGCAGGGCCGGACCCCTGGATGGTTTTGGGCCTTACTACCGGCTGCTCCTCCCCTGCCACGACTGTCTGGGCAGGTCCTGTGGGGCCAGTGGCCGCAGACCCAGGCAGCGATGTATCCTCCACCTGGGTTGCATCCTGCTTCCCTTCTGCCATCCCTCAGAGGTGAAGTGGGGACAGAAAGTAGGCAAAATAAAGTAATGAGTGCTGACTTACTGACAAACCACAGTCCTAGATCGTCCAGAAAAAGGGTCAGGAACGCAGGAACTTGGTGCACGTTAGCAATTTTTTATTTACTAACTGACAAAGTCAGCACTGGGGATAACTTCTCCCCAGAGCCCTTTATACTGTGTCCACGCCCACATCCCCACCCTCCACCCACAAACCACCATCCGGTCAATTATTCTTATAACCCCACCCCCGTGCCCTAACCCCCCTCCCCGTGCATTTCCACCCCCTATGGTCCAGCGTCCGCCCGCCTGCTGTTGCTGCCACATGTTTGCTGTTTTCAGTTGCAACGGTAAGTTTATGTGCTCAGCTGTTGGCCAGTCCTTTCCAGCCATACTGACAGTACTGTGCGCCTCCTTCCCTTCTAGGGCCGCGCCGGGGTTGGCTTGTTGCTGGGGAGGGTGCTCTGGGTCGGCTGCGGGACCCCCCACTACTCCGGAGAGGGACCGCACGCTGCCCGACATGTCCGACCGCTCCCCGTCTCCCTGCTGGCCGGTAGTATCCAACATTGGCTGGGAGGCCGTCGGCCATTCCTGCTCTCCCAGCTGGTCGGCGGGGTGTTGTAGTCCGGTCCCGCACCCTCCGCGGCGCCGGGAAGAAGCCCCACGCCGCCCGCCGCTGTCGGTTCCTTCCCGCCTCCCAGCTGGGCGGCAGGACGCCCTGCAGCCGCAGCGCCTTCTCCAGTGACGAGGACTGGCCGGGAGGCGGCCGGCCGCTTCCCTGCTTCCGGCTCCTCCCCGCCTCCCAGCTGAGCGGCGGGGCGTTTTATGGTCGTGGCATTGAGGACTGGCCGGAGGCAGTAGGTTGTTTCCCTCCTCCCGGCGAGCGGTTGCGGCAGGGCGGGCTGGCTCCGGCTCGGCGTGTTGGCGGGGGTGGGGTGGTTCGCTCCTTTCCCCCCCCACCGAATGGCAAGCCCCTTGGGGCTTGACAATTAGCTCATGATCAGAGGAACACCCAGGACATGATCTTAAAATTTAAATCTCCACTGATTTACAAAGCTCGGAGATCCCTATAATAACATATTTATGAGGGGAAAATACTCTGGAACTGTGTGGAATCTCTGAATAAACATGTTTTGGAACAAAGGTTTAGACAAGTGATCTGGCAAATGGCTTTGTGCCATTAACTGTTGTATAATCAGGGCATTTCCTATTATTATTTAGGAATGTTAGATCTTTTTGGATTTCTAATTTTAAAAAATGCCCACCCATCTCCACCCACGATAGAAATTAGAAATCAGTGGAGCTGCTTATCTCCAAGATAAGAAAATGTTCCCTGTGTAGCCCCTTCTCAGCAGTGGAAAGATGAGGCATCACTTTTGCTTTGTATACTGAAATGAACATATTTCTGCAAATGATACTTTTTCTTTATTGGTCACATACAGCTAATGTTTAAAGGCAGTGTTTTTCAACCATGGCAACTTTACGCTGTGTGGACCAGCTCCCAGAATTCCTCAGTCAGTGCTAGCTGGGGATTCTGGGAGTTGAAGTCCACACAGCTTAAAGCTGCCAAGGCTGAGAAACACTGCCATAGAAGACTGCCGGGTCATAGCTTGGCAACTCTCTTTTTCAGATCTGGCCTGTGCTGGACTCTTGGAAGCTTTCCAATTTGCTTGGCTTGGTCAGCAGCAAAGATCTGTGAGACTGTAGGGCGGCCCCATTGTTTGACCACTAACAGGAAGGGGAAGGCTCTTGATCCAAGGCCAGCTTGGACTCATGTGGAGCAATTTCCCAACCTGACTTTACATTATATTTGGGGAAGTTGGGGAGTGATTGTCTCTTCTTGGGAACTTTTGTGAAGCTAAGGCAGGGCAGAAAAAAAAGAAGTGGAGAAATAGTTCTGAGGGTTCATTGTACTGAGGGTCTAATGGGCAACTGTACCCCCATGTGCTTTGAAGCTGTGGAATTATTGCTGATACACAAACCCTAAGTAAATATTTGGTCAGCTGTAACTTCCTGCTGGATGTTCCTGGAAACATAACCTTGTTGGCATATCTATTTGACCATGTTGGGAAGATTGCATGTGGTGGAGAAAGCCATGCAGGTGACAGTTGTCTTGATCCTTGTGTTGCTCTGCACCTCCAGCAAAGGTGAGGATCTTTCTCCCTCCCCCTTCCCCCTCTCCTGGTCTGAATTTCCAAAGGGTGCTTCTTTCTTGTTTCAGCAGCTCTGCAGAATAAAGAAGGTCCTGCTTCTTTGTACTGTAAGTTCTATAGTCAGGATATTTTCCCAGAAGAGTCCTTTTTCCTTTGCTGTTTACCAAAGCTTTCTACCCTGAGATACTTCTGTCCACATATTATCCTGCCTTTATTATTTTTATAAATAACTCAAGACGCAGAACATATCTAACACTCTTTCCTCCTCTTATTTTCCCCACAACAACTGCCCTGTGAGGTGAGGTGAGCCGAGAGATGAACTAGCCCGAAGACACTCAACTGGCTTTCATGCCTGAGGAAGGACTAGAACTCCAGAGTCTCCTGGTTTTTATTCCTGCATAAAGACCTGGCATTTCTACCCTGCTCTTTCTCCCTCTGCCTTCTTGGTTGAGGTTTCTCACGTCTCTCCAGAACCATTGGTCTTTTACTTGAAACTCTTTTTTGTCTCTTCATCCTGACATTGCCTTCATCTCATCCCCAAGATGTATCTGAAAGTAGCCTAAAGTCATCTTTAGTTGTTGCCCTTGAAGTAGGCAAGAAGCGTTGTTTTCACATGGGTGCAATATAGCAAGCTTCACCCACCTTTTAGTTGATGTTCAGTTAGATCCCACCTAGAGGAACAGAGCCAAGGGGCTACCTAGATGAATATGGGTGTATCCCCTCTCCTCTGACCCCTTAGTACAGTGATGGCGAACCTTTTAGAGATCGAGTGCCCAAACTGCAACCCAAAACCCACTTATTTATCGTTGGGTGCCAGGTGGGCATGGCCCACTAGGTGGGTATGGCTGTGGTGGTCATGGCCGATTGGGTGGGTGTGGCCAATGTGGGTGTGATCACCTTGATGTTGCTCGTGGGAGGGACGTCTGTGGGGGGCGGGCAGGATTGGGGGAGATCCAGGGGGTCTCTGGCAGGTGGGGCGGGGGGCAGGAGGCTTGTCCTGCGGGGTGAGGCAAGGCAAGGCAGGGCTGGGGTGCCATTGTCATAGGGAAAGGTGAGGCAGGGGCCAGGGTGGCTGCTGCCTGACACCATTGGCCCCAGCACCCAGTGGACGCATGGGTGCTGGGATGCATTTGGCCATGTGGGACCTCGGCCAGTTAGCGGGCAGCTGGTTGAAGAGGGACGGTTGCCATCTCTGGGGCATGGCACGCGTACCCACAGAGAGGGCTCTGAGTGCCACCTCTGGCATGCGTGCCATAGGTTCGCCACCACTGCCTTAATACATTCTGGCCTTCTCCATTCTGCTTTGTGCAGTGGGAGAATGATGTTCTTTAAAATCAGCCTCAGTCTTTCAATATACCCACCAGGCCCCTGAGCTAATAACCAACTCAGAAGTCTGGATCTTCCTGAATAATATCTGACCAGCAATGGCTGCACAGTGAAGTGGAAAAGAGAGTTAGTTCACTTTCTCCCGCATCACAGTACAGCTTTCTCTCTAGTGATAAGTGCTGTTGGGCTTCTTTAGTATACTGTATAGATTTAGCAGTGTTCTGAACTAGCACAAAACCTGTGTCCAAAAGATGGACAGCTGAGATTTGGCAAAAGTGATACCTAAAGTCTATGTCTACTTGAGTGCACCCACAAAAAAACACTTGTGGCAAACCAGACATTCCTTGGAAGATGGCTATCAAAACTTCCCTCCTCCCCCAGCCTTAACTCCATCACCCACCAATGTACGGAGAGTGATTGGGAATCGAAATCCAGACATCTTAAAGTCACCAAGGTTGAGAACACAGGTCTAGTGTTTTAAGGTGCTGGAACAGGAGGAAGGAAACTTGAGTTCTTGTCCTACGTTAGGCAGGGAACCAGCTAATGGACCAGTCATTATTTCTCAGCCGTAGGAAGAAACCAATGGCAAACCACTTCCAAAAGTGTTGCCTAGAAAATTGCATGGCCATGTCCTTTTAGATGCCAGAAGTCAAGATTGACTCAAAGAAAAAAAAATAAGTTTATTGTAGACTCAGGGACTGGTAGATAGTATTTTAACAAAGCCACAAAGAAGATATCTTTAACAGATTTGTGACCAGCATTCATTCAGGAAAGCTTTTTGGCTCTCTGTTAGCAAGATTTTGAATGTTCTGTGGCAATAATTGAAACCTTCCCATTTTTTTTTCAAACTTCTTAGCCACACATTCTGCAATTAGATTTGCCATTATTATTATTATTTTTTTAAAAAAAAACAGTACAATAATGTGTGAAAGGCAGAAAGGTAGTAAATACAATATTTTCCCAGTCCCACACTGGAAAACATCTATGCATGATTCTTGTCCACCTGGTGTGCATCTGTTAAATGTACAACACTTTGTCTGGAAGTCTCAGATATAAGAATCATACAATTTCATTTGTGTGAATAAGAATCACACAATCTCATTTGAGCCAAGGAACCTTGTTCATGCTAAGCTGGTCTCTTTATTCCACTTCCTGTTTCTTAAAAAATGATGACATTCAGTTCTCAAATTCTTAGAAAAGACTGTGATTTAACTGTGCTAGTTTTTTTTCTCGTATTTCCCCCTTACTCATTCCTGCCTTAAAGACTACCAGGATGCAATATTACTGAGGCACCTCCTTATGCTTGTTTTCTGTTGAGAGTTGATTCGGGGTTTTTTTTTTTGCAGAGATCCAGAATGACTGACATTTTCTATGCCTTCCAGGTCACCGTTCTCCACTGAATGATTTCCAAAGACTAAAGGCTACTCAGCTGATCACTTCGATTCAACAAAGAGTGGAGCAGTTCTGTGTAGTAGAAGAATGTGCCCGACAATGTAACACCTTGCTGGACTGCAGGTAAGGGGAGAAAGCCAGAGCTTCAGGCAGGTGAACTGCAGGGTCTATTAGTGTAACCTCAAAGAACAGCTTTACCCTGAGTCAGCCATTGGATTATTTAGTTGGTAATACCTCCTAAGAAGCAGCAGTGCTCCAGGACCCCAGCAGGAATTTCTCCTGGCTCTTCCCAAGATTCAGAAGAATTCTTAAAAGGTCATTTTAACCTGGAAAGGCTTTTCCTAGTCCTGCTGCTACCCAACATCTTTGTGCATGCAGCTGATTTTGGTCTAAGAAAAAACACAGGCAGGTTCAAATTTGAATGCGAAACTACTAGGAACTTCAGGGAGGAAAGCCAAAATAATATCCCAGAGGCGGCAAACCTCTTTTGCTCTCAAGAAAATGACATGGGTATGTCATGTGGTCCCCAAGAGTTGGGCTTGAACCAGAGGAATCTTAACTTTTTTTTAACCTGCAAAATATATGGTTTGGGATAAGTGATACATGTCTTATGTGTTAATTTCACTCCATGACTCTTCAATATGTACATGGGTACTTAACTGCACACATCTACATGCATACATGCATACATGCATACATACATACTACACACACACACACACACACACACACACACACCAAGCTCTGAATGAGACATTAAGGGTTGAGGAAGAATATCTGTAAAATATTCACTGAAACTAGTCTACCACGAAGACTTTCTGAATAACAAAAGAGTCCAAACTGGTCTACAAAAAAGGCCAAATGAAGAATAGAAAAGAGACATGGCAAGACAAAGTATTATATGTCCGGGCATGTAAAAAAAAGCAGACAAAGTAGATAAGAATTGGATCTGGCAGTGACCAAGAGCAGGAAAGTTGAAGAAAGAACCAGAAAGTTTAGGCAAATAAGCGATTCTCCATGCCAAAGGTATCTCATGAGACTGCTGTCTATGTGTTCTTCCAGAGCCTTTCATTACAACTGGCAGCGTTCTGAATGTCAGCTGCTGACTGTGACCCAAATTTCACCGCATACCCAGTTGCAGAGGAATGTTCATTTTGACCTCTACCAGAAGAAAAGTATGTTGAATGTCTGCATGGAAATGAAATGTGAGAAAGACCAGGGAGTGCCTCTAGTGCAAGAGAGGGAACATGGAAATGCATATTTGTGCTTCCTCTGGCCTGATGACCTAAAAATTAAATAGGGATACTTATCTAGGACTTGGGTTGCTGAAAGGAGAGAAGGGATATACATGCATAAGAGGCTGTGCATAAAAAAAAAAAGTCCTCCTAGCTGACACACGTGTCCTGTCTTGATGTATAAGCTCTCAAGCAAATATAAGTTGCCTTCTCTAATATGCTTAACTAAGTGTACATCCATATCTATTTTAATATTTGATGTAAGTCTAAGTTATCTGTCTGATCTCCAACTTGCTCTCAATATCTGGGAGGGCATCTGGAGTAAATTGACCTCTGCCACAGCTGCTGTGATCTGTGAGTGAAAAAGTGCAAATATATGCCCCCTTAAGTCCTTATAGAAGGCAGCATGAGAGTCCTCAACATCAAATTTATTGAAGCCTCCATAAATCTTTTGTTTAGTCTTACCTTGCTGCAAAGGATAGACAGAGTGAGACTTTGGAGTAAAGCCTTGCTCAAGGTCCTATGAACTTAATGGGAAACCTGATGGGCCACTTTTCCTATGGCCTCCTATCAGCAATTCTGAAACAGCAAGATATTTGGTCCAATACTGGTTATTGTACCTGGATTTGTGTGTTTTCCTTCCTAGATCTAAGAGATGTCAGCCTTGTTCATAGCCAAGAAGCCCATATGCCTCTATTGTCTGATAAAAGAGCAATACGACTTTTGAAAAAGGTTGGGTCTGACACTGTTCCCAGGATTGGACAACTGGGACAAAAGATCCTTTTAACCTTTCCCAACAATCTCCCGAAGAAAGTGGTGACCCACATATTACATGTATATAAAAAAAATGCTCATGTGTGGCCTTTTTCTTGAACTTATGATAGAATTCCCTTATCATATGAAATATTTCAATGACCACATTCCGAAATAAGTAACTCCACTCTTACTTGATTTTCACTCCATCTTGCATTAGAAGTTATTTCTCAACTATCACTTCACAGGTTATGTAAGGAAATGCATCATAGGAGATGGAGCAAACTATAGAGGGATCCAGTCTGTGACTGCAAAAGGAAAAACATGTCAAAAATGGTGGCTAAAGTTTCCTCATGATCACAGGTAAAATCTATGTATGCCACTCTTTGAACTTCTTGAAAGGCGATGTATAAATATCTTAAATAAAGGCAAAGTGGAAATCAATCTCAGCAACTTTAACATGTGTGGATTTCAACTCACAGAGTTTCTCCAGCCAGCATGCTAGTTTGGGGAATTCTGGGAGTTGAAGTCTTCACATTTTAAAGTTGCTGAGTTTAAGAAACACTGGTATAAATACATAAATTAAATAACGTAAGAAGAAATGGGTACTGCATAGGCAGAGAGGCATTGCTTTCTTGTATTGTTGTTGTTGAGGCCAAGGAGAAGGAGAGAAGAATAGGACAGAAGGGATGCCCCTGAATAATATCTTCAAAAAAATAGAACAATAATTGGGCAATTCTTCAAACAATAACTTACTATGTTCAATATTTTTATAAGACATATATCTCTGCACTAATAATCTATATCAGGGGTGTCAAACTGCCGGCCCATGCACCGGATGCATCACGTGGAAGCCACACCCAACCCAGCACTGACGGGGAAAAAAGTCATGTGATGTGTTGAGTTTGACATCCCTGATCTATATCATCTATTATGGTCATAATGCTATGCACAATGAAACTTAGTGATTACACTTTGGTTTTGTTGATGCTTTCTAAAACTAACCAGGTTTTATGAAGCAGAAGTTTTAATACATCCAGGAAGAATCTCATTTTGGAAAGCTGGCTTAAGGAATTATGCTCTGTGCAAAATTGCTACTCCATCTAGCAAGCCAGAGGCTGTCCATAATTGAATTTACCTACTTTGTTTGGTCTGATTTTATAAGTGACAGAGTATGGTGCTTTGTATTCCTGTCAAGAGCAACATTACACTGTCCTAGGAAAAAGGATGCAGGTGGCAAGAAAATGAACAGAAAACCAATGCATCCAAACTATAATTAGGAGATAAGTCTTTTTCACCCTGACTGTTTCCCATTTCTCTTGAATAAACTCTCTACTATTCCAGTTCTCAGCTGATGGTATTGAGGGAAGACAACAGAGAAAATATCTCCCTGAACCCCATTACTTGCTGTTTTTCTGTTCATCTCTGACCTTTATTAAAACAAAATAAATCTATCATCCATCCATCTATCCATCTGACATTAAAAAAAATAAAAGATTTGAGACTTTTCAGGGTATTGATTTAAAACAATTTCTTGTAATAAACAAGCCAGCTTATATTAACTTCAATGATCTCTACCCTTATTGAAATTGCATAACTGGAGGCTGATGGTTTTGCGGTGAAATCTAGATCAATACAAATGGGGTAATTTCAGTTTCTTTGTCTCATGTTGTCTTTTTGTTTCTTAAGATATTATCCATCCCAATATAATGGTTTGGAAGAAAATTATTGCCGGAATCCAGATAATGATAGGCATGGCCCCTGGTGCTACACAACTGATCCTTCTACCCGACATCAAAGCTGTGGTATCAAGAAATGTGAAAATGGTAAATAAATTGACTTAAGATGTCTGCAGGGCACACATAACTATATACAACCATCCCATATAACTAATTGCTCAGGCACGTATTCTTTTGTTTTTAGATATTCTATCCCACCATTATTATTTTGATAAATAATTCAAGGTGGCAAGCATATTCAATACTCTTTCCTCTTCCTATTTCCCTCAAAACAACCACTCTGAGCGATGAATTGAGTTGAACTGAGAGAGTGATTGACCTAAAGTCACCCAGCAAGTATCGTGCCTAAGGCATTGCTAAAGCTCATGGTATCCCAGTTTCTAGCCTAGAATCTTAATGACCAAACAGGCTTTGGTCTAGGCAGTCATGAAAAATTAAACTGACTTGCAGGCAATACATGTGATTACAAAATGAATAATTATAGGAGACTTCCGGTACAAGGCGACGGCGATGGCGGCTATCTTCTAGCCGTCCAGCTGGGGAAGTGTCAGAGCCGCGGAGCACAGCGTGCATCAGCTGGCCCGCGGCTCGGAATTCCCTTCCCGGGCAAAGGGAAGGGACAGAGAACGCAGGAATAGAGGTAGAACCCCTAAACCCCCTCTGGATTTATTTCTAGAGGGGGTGAAAGGAGTGTTCCCTCGGAGCTCCTGCTGATCTCCGCCTCCCAGCTGTTTTTGCTTCCTAGGAAGCAAAAGAAACCGCCGCTTCTATCTCCGTGTTTATAGTATTTTGGTGAGTAATTTTTAAACGGACAGAGCAGTTTAAAGGATTTTTGTTATATAATTTAGGTGTTTATTTTTTTTATTATTTGATTTTGACTATTTTTCCTCCTTTTCTTTGTTATATTAGTGAAAGGATTTAAGATGGCGTTTTGAAAGTGTCGGAGTTTTTTTTTCCTTTCTCTTTTGTTTTACTTTCCCTTTTTAAGGATTGGATTTTGCTTTTGCTTTTGGCATAGAATTTTTTTTTTTTCTTCTTGAATTGTTTGCTCTTTTATTTTTTATTCTTTGGATTTTCTCTGGATTTTCAAGGACTATAGTTTGTCTCTTTTTAAATTCTTTTTCTTTTCCTTCCCTCCTCCCTTTTTGTGTGGAGGGGAAAGGGAAGTGAGAACTGTGCTTTTTTAAAATGGCTTCAAAGAGGCAGCAGCCTTCTTCAATATCCAAGGTTGTTTCTTCTCCTATAACTTCTACTGCACAATTACAACAACAATCTAAACATGTACCACCGGCTCAGCCACCACCCTCCCCCCCTTTGCCTGGACTTTCAGCACAAGAGGTTAGAGGCATAATGGGAGAGATTGTAGTCCAAATGAGAGAGGAAATGAAGCAATTTGCTTCACAGATTAAATCAGAAATTAAATCTGATCTTAAAGAAGAGATAACGGGGATAAAGACTAAATTGGAAGAAAATAATAATGATTTGCGACAAGACATACTTGCAGCAGTTTCAGGTTTGGCTACTGTGGTGGTTAAGCTCGATGCAAGGCTTGAGGAAGTGGAAAACAAAGTTGATTCTTTTGATGATAAAATTCAAGATGTGGAAAGGAAGGTGGAGTCCTCACAAGAAGATATCTTGATGTTTCAGTTCAGACAGATGGAGTATGCCTTGAGGATTAGAGGCCTCAAGGAAGATATGAATCAAGATTTGGTGGAGGTGGTCCTTACTGATCTGGCGGTGGCCTTGGATATGGATAAAGGAGAATTACATAGAGAAGTGGAAAAAATTTATAGACTCAATTCTTGGATTGCTAAGCAGAAGAATTTGCCTAGAGATGTGGTGATTTATTTTACAAAGAAGTCCCTGCGGAATGAGATTATACAAGCCTTTTACAACAAAAGATTTCAGATTGCTGCCCAAGATGTTATCATTCTAAAGGAAATCCCATCCAAAATTTTAAGAAGCAGGAAAGACTTCGCTTTTTTAACCAATGAGCTTAAAGCCAGATTGATGCCATTTAGATGGGAAATTCCGATGGGTATTGTCTTGAGCCATGCGGGGACACGCTACAGATTGAATACAGTTGACAAAGCTAGAGAGTTTTATACTTCGGTCCTGGGTGCAGGCTCAACTCCATCTGGTCAGAAATCTCCGAGTGGCAAGGAAGTCGAGCAGCAATCTGAGGCATTAGGTTTGGTTTCCGCTGGAATGATACAAGCTGAAAGGCAACGCCAGATGGAGGTTAAAGAGCAGAGGATGACTCGTGCAGCTTATAAGCGTAAAGAGAAGGAGCAACGTAAAAAAGAGCCCAAAGAGAATTCTTCTGGAAATGCATCACCGCCGGTGGGAGGAGCAAGACCCAAGAGTTATGCAACACATGCAGCTCTTTCAGATCTTGATGGTGTCTTCTCCAGGCTGCGTGCCAAGGGAGATGGCAAAGTTTTTGACCTGGAATGTTAATGGATTGAATTCTCCTCAGAAACGGAAAAAAATCTTTTATTATTTGAAGCAACATACCAATGACGTTATTTGCTTACAGGAAACTCATATCTTACTTAAAGATCAGAAATATTTAGTCAATGCTCGTTTGGGATCTCATTTTATATCTTCTGCTCCTGGGAAGAAAGGGGGAGTTGTTATATATGTTAAACAAAATCTACCAGCTTGTCTGGTAGAATCAGATCCCCAGGGGAGATATGTGATGATTGAACTTGGTATATATGGTAAGCAAGTACTCATAGTGGGACTTTATGCTCCAAATCAACAACAGGAACAATTTTATAAGCAGTTACATCAAAAAATAACATTGCTTGACTATAGATCAGTGGTATTAATGGGTGATTGGAATGGTGTCTTAGATATACAAAGGGACAAGAAAGGTTCCTCTCCTTTTCTTAAACAAGCAAGGTTACCTAAAGCTTTTTTTGATATGAAGGAAGACTGGGAATTAAGGGATTATTGGCGGGAATGTAATCAAGAGGAGAGAGATTTCACTTTTTTTTCTGATAGACACCAATCTTTTTCAAGAATTGACTTTTTTTTGATTACTACGGATTTGTATAATAAAGTAAAGAATGTAAAGATTTTTCCTAGATCACTGACGGACCATAGCCCAGTTTGGATGGAACTGACTCAAGAGAAAGAGGAAAGGAGATCCTGGAGAGCTAATGAAAATTTGTTTAGACAAGAGAAGAATGTTCAAAAGTTAAAGGAGTGTTTAAAGGACTATTTTGTTTTGAATATGTATAAGGGGACTTCAATGTCAATGGTATGGGATGCAGGTAAAGCATTTATGCGTGGTGTCTTGATAAAAATGAATAATTGTCATAAGCGGAAGCAGATTCAGAAACGTAGAGAACTTGAAGACGAAATTAAATCAAAAGAAAGGGCCTTGATTCTAAATCCTTCTGATGAAAGTATTAAAGAATCTGTAAAGTTATTAAGGTCACAATTTAATATGTTGATAGCAGATCAAGCTGCAACTAATTTATTGTTTATGAAACAAAATACATTTTGTAATGCTAATAAGCCTGGGAGATGGTTGGCTTATCAATTGAGAAAGAAACAGAGACAGAGAATAATAGAGAAAATAAATTATAAGGGTAAATTAGTTTTTCAGAAGGAATTGATCAAAAAATCTTTTTTGGATTATTATCAAAAGTTATACAAATCTACTAACGTGCAACTGCTAGATATAAATAAATATCTAGCTGAGGCAAGTTTTCCCAAACTGACTGAGGATCAGAAACATGAAATTAATGGCTTAATTACTAAGGAGGAAATTGCCTCAGCAATTCAACAATTGAAACTAGGGAAAGCACCGGGTACGGATGGGTTAACAGCTGTTTATTATAAAGCTTTAATGGAGGAGATGATCCAACCATTAAATGATCTTTTTAATGGTATCTTACAGGGTTTAGAGATTCCTCCTTCATGGCGTAGTGCTTTTATATCATTGATTCCAAAGGAGGATCAAGATCTTACTTTACCAAAAAATTATAGGCCTATATCTCTTTTAAATGTGGATTATAAGATATTTGTAAAAATTTTGGTAAATAGGCTTATGAGGGTGGTGCATCATCTTGTGCATAAAGATCAATCAGGGTTTATAACTGGAAGGTATATGAAAAATAATGTTAGACAAATTATTAATCTATTAGAATATTTAGACAAGAACAACCAAGTTCCTGCAGGGCTCATATTTTTAGATGCTGAAAAAGCATTTGATCAATTGAATTGGCATTTTATGCTAAGAGTAATGGAAGAAATGAATTTTGGCGAAAAGATATTACAAGCCCTTACGGTAATATATCAAAAACAAACGGCACAACTTATTGTTAATGGAGGTTTGTCGGAGGTTTTTACAATAGAGAAAGGTACTAGACAGGGGTGCCCTTTATCGCCATTGTTGTTTGTTTTAACATTGGAAATATTATTGATCAAAATTCGAGAGTCTCAGGAAATTAAAGGAATAGAAGTTAACAAAAAAGAATATAAGTTGAGAGCTTTTGCGGATGACTTGGTTGTTACTTTGTCGCAACCTGATCACTCTGTAGTAAACTTATTACAGTTGATTCATTATTATGGTTTGGTTTCGGGTTTCAAGATTAATGTAAATAAGACTAAAATTTTACCTAAAAATATGTCTAGTCAGGAGAAGCAGATTTTGGCTAACTTGACGGGTTTTGAGATTGTTAATAAGGTAAAATATTTGGGGGTGATGTTGTCTGTTTCTAATGTAAAATTATTTAAAAATAATTATGAAAGGTTGTGGGTCAGGGTACAGAAGGACTTGAAGAATTGGGAGAAGTTGCAATTATCCCTCATGGGAAGAATTGCAGTGATAAAAATGAATATTCTACCCAAGTTTCTTTTTTTGTTTCAAATGTTACCGATTTTGAAAAATGAGATTAACCTAAGTGAGTGGCAGAAGGGTCTTAATAAATTTATTTGGGCAGGGAAAAAGCCAAGGGTTAAGTTTAAAATTATGCAAGACTTCCGTGAGAGGGGTGGACTCAAGGTACCAAATTTGAAATTATATTACGATGCGGTGGTTTTAACACTAATTAGTGATTGGGTAAATTTGACAAATCCTGAGATACTTCATTTAGAGGGATGGGATTTACTTTATGGGTGGCATGCCTATTTAATATTTAATAAAAAAATGGATTGGGTCTTTAAATCTCATATTTTAAGAATCTCTTTACTTAGGACTTGGAGAAAATATTATAAAAGTGATTTTAAAGTTCCATTATGGGCCATACCTTGGCATGCGATAGAAGGCATAAAAAGAGGTGTAAAAATGGATATGGTGTCTTATAGTCAGCTACTTAGATGGGATGGGCAAAACTGGCAGTTAAGATTACGGGAAGATTTAGCGCAAGAAAATATTATTTATTCTTGGTTCCAATATAGGCAACTAGTAGATAAATGGAAGGTGGATTGTAAATTGGGTTTTCTTAGAGAAGATGGAAATCTTATTAAGCAAGTCAAGGATCAAAGACAAACCCACATCAAGAGAATCTATGGGGTTTTAGTTGAAATGGACTCAGAAACGGAATTAATTAAAGACTGCATGATTAGATGGGCGCAGAATTTTGGTGTCCCAGTCTCATTGGACATCTGGGAAACCATTTGGGTGAGAAATGTCAAATTTACACAAGCACAGAACCTTAGGGAGAATTTTTATAAAATGTTTTATAGATGGCACCTTGATCCACAAAAAATGTCTCTTATGTACCCTGACGTACAACCCAAATGTTGGAGATGTGGTTATACGGATGCTTCTTATTATCATATTTGGTGGTCATGCAGAGAGATAAAAGCATTTTGGATCAAAATATGGTGGAATATCCAGAGAATTTTTAGAAGGAGGGTAAAATTTACTCCGCAATTATTTTTGTTGGGCATTGTTACAGATTGTGATACAAAGGAGGTTGTATTGATGTTAAATTTGATTACAGCCGCCAGGCTGTTAGTAGGACAATACTGGAAGAAGGAATCTTTGCCTACATTGCAGGAATGGTTTCTTAAAGTAGCTTATCTGGCGGAAATGGCAAAGATTTCGGTTTTCTTAAAGCAACAAACGCAAGAGAAGTTTCTTGCCGTTTGGGACAAATGGATAAAATTTATACAATTTAGATTGGGTATAAGAAAATATCACATAGCTTTTTCATAAGTTTTATTTTTATATATAGAGAATGTTATATATAGATATTTTTTTTTATATATATAAATATAAATTTTTTAATTTAATTTCTTATCTTTATTTGTTAATTTTTAACTAAGCCTATATTCTGCTCTGGGAAGCTCAGGGGGGGGAAGGGAGGGTGTTTGTGAGGGGTGGGGGATGGGGTTTTTTTTTTATATGTGATGTTTAGTTTTTTTCTGTATATGTTGTTTTTTGTTTTGTATTGTTTTTGTCTTTTTGTAAAATTTATAAAACTTTCAATAAAAAAAAATGAATAATTATGTGTTTGTACTGCTGATATTTATGTTTAGTTTTAAATGTAATGCCCACAGACTCCCTTGTCAATAATGAAAGTAGACATTCATGCTAGACTGGAAAAATTGTGTTTACCTTGTGGATTACTGCCATATGGATCAACTATATGGACCAAGTTCTGTTTTGTTTTTGAAGGAAGTGGAGGATGTAGCAAGATACAAGCAGTACCTGTTCAATGGGGGCCAGCTAATCTGAAAAACTACTATAATTGTCATGATTGATAGCCCTTCCTAAACCATATGTCTATTTGATCTAGTACAAAGTGCTGTTTTGTTTCCAGAGGCCTCTTATGTCCATGGAACTGTGTTAGTTAAGGGTTTTGTGTTGACTGGTGTTCCTTGTGTTCCCTTTGTTCAATATTGTCATGTATTTGCTTTCTTGTTCAGTCTTGGGATCTGTACAGAATGTGTGCATACTCATACTCTCTGCCTAGTTTATTCATATACCGTATATTCTGGCGTATAAGATGACTTTTGAGAGTGTTGAAACAGCCTCCGAACTCGGGGGTCGTCTTATACGCCAAGTCGTCTTATACGCCGGAAATAAAGTAGTTTCTGGCGTATAAGACGACTTTCTAGGCATGTGACTCAGCATCGATCGTCTTATACGCTGGAAATAAGGTAGTTTCCGGCGTATAAGATGACTTTCTAGGCATGCAACTCGGCGTTGATTGTCTTGCGACTCGGCGTCGATCGTCTTGCGACCCGGCGTCGAACTCGGGGGTCATCTTATACGCCGGGTCACCCTATACGCCGGAATATACGGTAAATTAGTTTTCTTAGTTACCTTCTCTTCAACCTTCTGGTCAAGATGTGTAGGGAGTCATGGAGATGATTTTAGAGAAATTATCCAGAAGCCATTAAGACAATAACAGGAGCAAGCTTCAAGCCCAGGGCACAGGGAAAATATGAGAAAGAGACTCACACTAGCTCCTCCTGAATCCCAAAGTGTAAAAGGGAAGGAAGGAAAAACGCAGGCAGACTTGCAAATTATTATAATCTTTTAAAATAAAGGATAGTTCTAGTTTTCTTGTGGAATCAGTTTCTTGACTTGGACAACTTTTCAGGGCTGACTAGATTCTAAGTGACTTTTACTACATACCTCTTATAGTAATACTCTGCCTTTGCCTTCCAGCTGTCTGTGTGGCATGTAATGGTGAGGATTATCGGGGATTCGTTGATCACACTGTGTCAGGAACAGAGTGCCAACGCTGGGACCTGCAGCATCCTCACAAGCATCCATACCTGCCAAACAAGTACTGATTCTAGACATTGCGTAATCTGTAAAACAGCAGAAGAAAGGGCATTTTCTATGAGGCATTGCCATAATGGTACTTTCTAAGGGGCAAGGAAATCCTTGGGAAATGGAGTTATTAATAGCAGTGAGAAGAATTGGCTTATATCAGTAATGACTTTGCAGTTGTCACAATCAGTTTTCACATTAATTTGAAATTCGTATAGTGGAGACACAGATGCTTCCAGGTTCAATTTCAGGCATCTCCAGGGCAGCCTGGATACATAACAGCATAAGAAGAACCTTGTTAGATCAGAGGTCCAATGGCTAGTTCAAATTTTTCGTTGTCATAGAAGCGAATTACATACCTTTGGGAAATGTGTACTGGTTATACCTGCAGAAGCATTTATGTTCTTGTGTTTTACACATTGGCATCCATATATAATAATGTGACTAGTACTTAACCTTAACTCTTTATATTTTTTAATGCTAAATTGGTGGCAATTATTTATTCTAGCACAACATTTCATACTGGTAATATATCTATGTTCACCCTAGAAATATAGTTCACTTTATCATGCCCAAATTTCCCATCATTCAGCTTTGTTGAGTTACCCAAGGCCCCATGATTTTAAGAGAATACACAAGAAGAACTTTCTATCTCCTTTCACCACACTGTATCATATCTACTCTTACTAATCATTCTTTTTCCAAATACCCAAAAGACCCTGTTATGAGTTTTATGTTTACTTATGTGCAGCTCTACCATTCATCTCTATTGTATTTCTTTCCTGTGTCACACTGCTAGTTTATGATCCATCTCTATTCTTCCTGTGATGCATTTCCTGTTCCTGTTGTATTCCCTCTCTCTAAAAAAGTGATGCCTTATATCAGTGGTGGTGAACCTATGGCACGGGTGCCAGAGGCGGCACTCGGAGCCCTCTCTGTGGGCACATGTGTTGTTGCCCCAGCCTTGCCTACCCCCATGACCCCCTCCTCACCAGCAGCCGCCCTGGAAGAGAGTTGCCCCCAAGCGTGGCCCACACAGAGCAGTGCAGCCAAGGACATGGCAGCCAGGCAGCGTAAACAAGATTCTGCCCTCCCCAATGGTGCACAGTTGATGCTGCGGGGCATGGACAGAGAGTGTGGCTGCTATGGCACTGCTGGGCTGCCTGGGCGATCTACGGCGGGCCCTGGAGGTGGTGAGTGGCCCTGCGCACAGGCAGGGTGGGTCAGGGGGTGGAGTGGGGGCGGGGCCAGTTTTTGGGCACTCGGTCTCTAAAAGGTTTGCCATCACTGCCTTATATTGTATTTACTGATTCCACATGAAAGAGACCCCATATTTGCAACTTTTAATAGAGAAAAGTAGAAAGTAAGATACATAAAAACCCCAAAATTATAAATAATCACCAGTTTCAGAGAGAAATGCAATATTTTCCCCAAACGTGGTAACCAGATTATCCTAAGTGTGTTTATATCATAGTTTTGTTTAAGGAGAGTTACTACTGTGTTTCCCCAAAAGTAAGATCTGGTATTATATTATTTTTGCCTCCAAAAGAAGCATTAGGTCTTACTTTTTTGGGGGGGTGTCTTATATTTTTTGTGACACCTGCCTCGCCTTGCGGCAGTGGCACCAACAGCCCCATCCACCAGGAACCTGCGTGGAACTCGGAGTTTGTGGGACTAAAAAAAGTTCAGTCAGACCTTCCAACTTCTCGCGAGATCTTTTTTTTTCCTGCAAGAAGTTGGAAGGTCTGACTGAACTTTTTTTAGTCCTACAAATTGTTTTCCTACAGCAGGCGAGAAACGTACCAGAGCTGGAAAGCAGGCTAGTGAAGAATTTTTTTGCTTTCAGGAAGTGGGAGGAGCTGGGCGGTGGTGCGCCAAACTCTACAGCAGCGCTGGGAGAAGAAGCGGCAGGAAATGGGGCTGCCATTTCCAGAACAGAGAAGGGAGATGCGAGGTGATGCACGGTGGCAAGCAAGTGATCTTCTCTGCTCTGCATCACTGTGCAGAGCCGCTTCCTGCCCCGTTCTCCATTCTCTCCAGTGGCGGCGATGGAGGGCTGGCAGAGGGAGGTGGCGGGGGAGGCTTGTGCCGCTGGGTTATGGCACAAGCCATGGGAGAGTTGATGGAGGAGAAGGAAAGTGATCTGTGGGACAAAGCGTGAAGAAAGCACCTCCAGCGGTGCACAGGGGCAGTGGAGCCTTTCACCGTCACTCCCCCCTGGGTTTGAAATAGCCGAGGGGGACCGGGCCTACCCCATCCATCCTCCGTAGCATGGCAGTCCGGTTCGGGAGGGGAGTGAAAGGGAAGGTCGTCGAGCAAGGAATTGCCTGGCTGGGGAGGCCCTGAAGGAAGCAGGTACAGGGCGCATAGGGCAGCTCCACCCCTCCCCCACCTGCCTTGCCTCATGGCGGCAGCGGTGCAATATGCTACGCGGCCTCCTGCCCCATTGCAGCAGTGAGGTGGGACAGAGTGGGCGGGGTCCTAATTAGGGCTTATTTTGGGGATAGGGCTGATATAGGCCCACCCCCAAAAATCAGGGTAGGTCTTTTTTCCAGGGTGGGGCTTATTTTCAGGGAAACATGTTAGTTTTACTAACAAATATTTTTGTAATGATCTTCAAGATGGAAGTTATTTTTTCTCCACTGCAGCAGTACACAGGCTCGCATTTTAATGGGACATGACCTTCCTTGACCACCCATTCCTGATTGATATATACGTGAAATTAGGATTAGTTTGTTCCACTTCACATATGTTAAAATTTCTGCCTGAAAACCTGGGTCAACATGGACAAAGCTGAGCTAAACTGACCACTGGTCTCATGTGGTGTAAAGCACAAGGCAGCTTCTAATGGGCCTATTAGCCTCTCATAAGCCTGCTTTCAATTTGACACAGTGAACAAACAGCACATTTATAACCACAAGAAGGGTCTGTTTTTTCTTTTGATGTTGACATTATGAAGCACATAATGTCCATTTTCAGTTAATTGCAAAACATTATGCATTTTCATAAAAAGAAAACAAAAGTACAGTGAGTCCTTGACCTATGACTACAAGTGGCACTGTAACTTCCTTTGACAAGCAATATGGTCATAAAGTCGGTTCCCTATCCCTTTAGCCACAATTGTTAAGTGAATCACCATACTCAAACCATTCAATTAATCACATGGTTGTTAAGCAAATCTGCATTTCCCCACTTTGCTTGTTGGAAGTCCCCTGGGAAGGTCGCAAACGGAGATCATGTGGCTGTGGGATGCTGCAGTGGTTGTAAGTGAAAGGACCAGTCGTAAGTCACTTTTTTCGGTGCCATCATAACTTTGAACAATTGTTAAACAGATAGTCGTAAGTCGAGGACTATCTATATGCATTTCTCCATAATTTAATGTAGGCAGGTTTTTTTGCATTTTGAGAGAACTGTTACCACAACATTCAAGCAGAGGGGAAAAAAATCTGGAGGGTTTCTGCTTTTGTATTTGTTCAGAGAATACACATTATGCTGATTTGTTTTAAAATGGGAACCAAAGAAATGACTTCCCTTTGGCTGCAACTATGGTAGTAACTGAGTTGAGACTGATGGAGTTGTGTTCTTCATTAAATGATTCATTTAGGTTTGCCAATCTATTGGCTTTACCAGTGTTTTTCAAGACACATGAACATCGATCCCGAATCCCACAATTATGAAGTGTGTCGCTCAGCAATGTCAATATATTTGCTATTATACATATCTAACGTGAAAAATATCTTTGGCCTGTCCTTGAGTGACTGGTGGATCAGTATGCTTGATCAGAACATGATGCTGATGATATGAATGCCACGTCTCCTGTATGAAGTGTAACACCTACAAAATTGTTACCTGCTTAAGGGAAATATTGAGAGTAGTGTTTTAATTTAATTCTCCCTTTCTCTGTTATTTTTTAAAGATACCCAGATAAAGACCTTACTGATAATTATTGCCGTAATCCTGACAATTCTGAGCAACCTTGGTGTTACACAGTGGATCCTGCCAAGGAGCGTGAATTCTGTCACATTCATAAATGCAGTAAGTCCTTCTGAGGTTCAGGACCTATTTGGAAATATATCAGTCTTAGAGAGCTAAAAAAATTCATTGTGATCCGAACGCAGCATGGGATGGGTCAGTGTATTTTACAAATGCCAAGGGGAATTTGAGACCTTATGTGGAGACAAACCTAAATAATGATTATTAATACATTTACAAAAACTACATGTAATGAAGAAAAAAAATCTTCAGATGATTATATTATTTTATGATACACAAAATCTGTCTATGAATGTATAAAATGCACTGTGAAAGTCCTTAGGGTGATTAAATTATTGTGAGTTAATTTCTAGTTCATTTTGCATCCTAGTCAGTCCTAATATCCAGATCAGAGCAAGCTCATGTGCTGCTCAGTTCAAAAACTATAGCTTGAAATTTACTTGTTAAAACATCTACAACAACCTAAACACAGTTAATAGCCAATGGTACAAAAGACAGACAGACAGAGAGAGCTATAAACAGGTTAGAGATAAAAGGATAGAGGGCCTAGTAGCATCAATCTCTGTTATCTATCTCTCAAAAAGTACAGAATTTTTGAGAACAATATTGTAAGGCAATGCCAAAGGAAGCAAATGTTGCTTATTCCAGCTTAACCCTTTTATGTGCATAGTAACAGGATAGAAGCAGATAAGGCAGGACACCAGATAATTAGGGGAAAAAAGCCGGATGGGAACGATGTGCTCAACAATGTGCTCAACAGTTTCTTTTTGCTGATTCAGTAGTCTCTCATCCAGTGTTTCTCAACCTACAATTTTGTAATTGTAGATTGCATTTAATGAAAACTGGAATGTAAACTTAGAGTTTTTAAATTCTGAATCTTGAATAAGTAAACACATTCTTACGAATGAAGGCGAATATTTATGTCCCAGGAAAATGTTGCAGGATCTAATCTGGGTTTAGTCTTCCAAGCTTGTCTCACACTCTGCTAGAGAGAAATTCCCTGAGGATGGGCTGGTCCAACACGTGTCTGAAAGCTCGGAAGACTAAACCTCTGATCCCGGTGGCTGACCCAAATTGGATCTTTTCCAGCGCTTTGATGCAAGTTCAGGATAAGTGTAGTACTCTTTTTTTCATTCATGCTATGAAGGATTTATGATACACTTTGTGATTTGGTTTCCATGGATTTTCCCTTTTGAAAGCAGAAAAACATCCACATCTGTCTACTACAACCAGCTGCTTCCGGCTGAAAGGAGAAGATTATCGAGGCAAGGTGAATGTCACTACATCGGGCGTCCCCTGCCAACGCTGGGACTCACAGACACCACACCGACACAAATTCCACCCAGAGAAATATCCATGCAAGTATGCATTGGCGATGCTGCTCTCCCAGGAATATATCAAGTCCAACTAGAAATGGGATTGGAAGCGTTTCCTCTGATAAGGTTTCCTTCTGCTGGGCATAAAAAGTTGCTTCACCCCAGATGACTACATGGGCATATTCACTTTGGTTTGGTTTGGGACAAACATAGAGCTTCGTCAGGATTCTTCCCCCCCCCCCCCAGTTTTCCAGTCTATCCTACAGGCCTGTAATGTGCTAGTGATCACCCATTCAACTGGGTGAACCTTTACTTTATTTTTTTCAAGATCAGTCAAATGATGCCACCTAGGCATGGTATGACTTCATTATTTCACTAGAGGTGGGAAGGCAGTTTTCTTTCAATCAGAGCAGTTTTATATATACCAGCGTAAGAAACAGGGTTATTAATTTTTTTCCTGTTTGCACAGTAAAACTTTAGAAAATGACTCACAACAGATTTTCTTTGAACACCGAGCACCTTGTGCTTTAGTGTGTGTATAATCAAAGAAAGGAAATTCTTATTACAGATTCAAAAGGAAAAAAAGGAAAAGAATCCAAATTCTACTTTTGCTGCTTGACTAACCTCTCCCTTTGGGTTTTTTCCAACAAAATGTTCTCTGAAAATTACTTGCGGACTTTGGCTTCATTTAGGAATTCCATTTGAATATCCAGATTAGTGGTTCTCAACCTGTGGGTTGGGACCCCATTTGGGGTCAAACGACCATTTCACGGGGGTCGCCAAACAAGGCTGTCCGCCATTTTTTTCCTCCTTTTCTTTGGCCACGCCCCTGGCACCAGGTGATGTATAAGTGGTTGGGGGTCATCACAACATGGGGAACTGTATTATGGGGTCGCGGCATTAGAAAGGTTGAGAACCACTGATCTAGATGGATTGCTGTGCCCATCTCCTGAGAGTGAAGAATGTATCTTCCTTCCTTCCTTCCTTCCTTCCTTCCTTCCTTCCTTCCTTCCTTCCTTCCTTCCTTCCTTCCTTCCTTCCTTCCTTTCTTTTTTTCTTTCTTTCTTTCTTTCTTGGCCTTTGTGCTGTGGCACCATAGATTGTGGCCAGATTGCCTGCAGTGTCTCATTCTAAGCCTTTTCTCATGAATGAGTGAAATGTTATTCACAATTTTTTTCTTGGCCCCAAACAAAATGCCAGTTGTATCATTTGTGGCCCCCATTGCCTGTCCTAATCCTGCCTCTGCTGTATCCAATTCACTTTTGGATGGTGATATAATTTTTGAGTATGCTGCTCCCCATCAGCAAGCTGAATGGTTTTTCCTCTGGCTTTGCTGCTGCTTTCTAAGCAAGTTCCCAGCCAGCAAAGAAACTGAAATGGAAGCTTTATTCTTTTCTTTAGAAACTTGGAAAGTGCCTGGCAGGTTTCTCATAGACACACTTACCCCAAGGCCTCTTTCTCATGTCTTAAAGCAAGGCATGAGGATAGGCAGAATAGCTTGGCCATAAAGATTGTCCAGCTAAGGAGAAACCCCTGATGCCAGATGTCATGGTTTTCCCCCTGAGGACAGATGTTAGTCCAGGCCACGCCTCTGGTGACAATAGCAAAGCACTGGCTGTTTTACTTAGAAAGAACAGTTTCTTAGGCCTCCCCAGTTACAAATCCTTTAGAGCAGTGGTTCTCAACCTTTTTAATACCACGACCCCAACCGGTCGTAAGTCGAGGACTACCCAACCGGTCGTAAGTCGAGGACTACCCAACCAGTCATAAGTCGAGGACTACCCAACCAGTCGTAAGTCGAGGACTTTTCCTGCCCGGGAGCATGTGTGGTGGTGCCCCCTGCACTGGCCGAGGCGTAGCTGGCAAGAGGCAGCGATGACGCAGGGCGACCACCGGCTGGGCCACCACCTAGCCCAGCCCAAGGGAGGTAAGGCACCTGCCAGGCCCCACGCGCGCCAGCAACCCTCCCTGCGCCCGCTGGCCTCCCACTTCCCACCCCTGGCCCTCTTTTACTTACATTTTTAGTAGTTGCTCAGCAGGGAGGGGTGGAAACGTCCAGACAGCTCACCTTCTCTGCAGACGACTTGCAGCACTGTTTGCAGAATGGGACTTTTGGCGGGCTCAGCAGGGCAGAGACAGCCTGGACAATTCCTATTGGCTTTTGAAAGCCAATAGAATTAGACTCTATTCAAGAGAGCCTATTCTATTGGCTTTCAAAAGCCAATAGAATAAAAGGGAGTAGCACAGCTAAGGAAAAGGGGAAAAAAATGGCGGACTGCGTTGTTTGGTGACCCCCGTGAAATGGTCGTGAAATGGTCGTGCAAATGGGGTCGCGACCCACAGGTTGAGAACCGCTGCTTTAGAGATTTCAGAGTCAAAACAATATATTGATGCAGCTCAGAAACTGACTGAAAGCCTAAGTAGTAAACTAATTTGGATGATAACAGAACTTCACTAACTACAGATCTGTTAAAAGTCTAAAAATCTTATGACTTCAGGCTATGTTGTAGCTATGGATCAACTAACCCTGAAGCATCTTCCAGAATGCTCAATCTTGGAAACTGCAACTGACTTTATGTTGAAGGCCAGCCAGAAGCATTTGGGTGCATCTTCAGAATTGGGCTGGGGGAGGGTGCTGATCTTCTGCTTTGCCTTTACCTTCTAGAGGCCTAAGTGAGAATTACTGTCGGAATCCTGATGGCTCAGAGGCTCCCTGGTGCTTCACTTTGATGACCAACCTGCCTAAAGCTTTCTGTTTCCAGATCAAGCGCTGTGCTGAGGATGTGGAGGCAGAGGGTAAGAATGGTGACCCCGAGCTGGGATCTAGAGGGAGGCTTTTCCCAGTGACTCTTCTCGCAGAAGTCTGGACTGCATTATTCCTAATGTTCAAAGTACCCTTGTTTGTTGTCCCTGAGTGAGAAAAGAAGCAGCAGAGTTCTATCTGCGTATCATTTGAATGGCTATAAGGATTCTATATGTCACTGTGTCTGGGATGATGCAGATCAAAGGGGAATCCATAGCAAAACAGTGCAAAGCAGTGTTTCCATTTTTCCATTCCAGCTCCTGATTTTCTGTTCCCTCTTTCAGCCCATCTCTAATCCAACTTTCTGTAGTCACTGAGGGTGCTTCATTCTCACTGTGATGTTTTCCCCTCAAGCTTACCCCTTCTAGCAAGTCTTGGCTTGTCGGAGATCCTTATTAGTTATTGAACAGAAATTGGTAACCTGGTGGTCTCTAGAGTCTAGATCTTCCAGGAAAACACAGTTCCTTAGTAGCTGGAGAGCATAATGTTTGAAACTCAAAGCATCTTTGTGTGTACAAAGACAGGCAAATGAACTCAGGTGAGTCTTTGATTCCCACAGACTGTTACCATGGAAATGGGGAAGATTACCAAGGCACAGTTAGTAAGACCCGGAAAGGAATTACCTGCCAGAAATGGAAGGAGCAAACCCCTCACACACTCCAGTAAGTGTATGAATGGTGGGAAGTCTATCATTATTCTGTTTCCATTTCCCTCTTTAAGCCTTAGTCATGTCAGGGTGGATGAGTTAACCCTATTAGCACCCAGACTTCATGAAGAATGCTCAGATTACAGCTATTTGCCCTGATTCTGAGAGAAAGTATCTCACCTTTTGTGGTCTGTGCTCACCCAGCTCATTCATTATTCTTTGAGGACAAGATTTACAGGATTTTAAATGTGGGTCATTCCATGTCAAGTAGTCTGGGGGTCTCTGCTTGACCATCACCGATTTTGATGAAATTTTATGTGAACATGCACACATGTCCCCAATGAACATTGGTAAAGTGTTACGTTTGTCGATGCAATACTTGTGGAGATATAGTCATTTGTTTGAGCCCATACCTCAGCCTTCTACAGTATGGCTCTGAGGTTCCAGCAACTTTGAGACATAATATCTCTGGCAATATTTTGTTCAGAGAAACAAAACTTGGCCATCTTGCACAACTTTTTGTGCTCTATTAAACAAAATAATAAAAACATTGTCATGAGTGATCTCCATCTAGATAATTTGGAGCAAAGTTGGCCGAAAATATTGCAGCTAAAAAAAAGTTTAAAGTTTAGCTTTTTATATCTCTGGAAGGAAAGGTATGATAAACGTGAAACTTTGCGCGTAATAACTTAGCAACACAAGGTTTTCGAATATAAAATTTCATTCTCCTACTGCTTTCCACTACTTTACAAATTGAGTGTAAAGTTGATGTTTTTTGTAAAAATGCCAAAAATAGGCTATTTTCAGCCCGCTTTTACAAAAAAGACTTTCTGGAAACTCTGTTAAATCATTCTCATTAGAAAGAGCATGTTTCAAACCCCCTAAAAAAGTAGGGTTGGTTTTTCATCACTGACGTATAAAGCCCTAAAAATAGGGACAAAGTTGAGGACATTGCTATGGCAACATCACATGTATTCTATTATTTTTTCGTCTTGTTTGTTTTGCATAGATATCATTACTACTTTTATATTGTGTTAGTCCATGGTGACGTTGTCACTACCAGTTCAGGCACTTGAACCAGTAATCCCATGAATAATTTTAGGGAAAAAAATTAGTATCTATTGATGCTTTCAAGTGTCTGAATCAGCCATAAGAATATATTGAATATATGTAACTTTTATTTTAAAAAAAGCAGCAATCCCCAAAATATAAACAAGGCAAAAATGACACAATACTGAACAGTCTTTTTAAAAAATTTTCTTAGGCACTTCTTTCCCTTACTACCTAATGTGCGCCTTGAACAGAACTATTGTCGTAACCCTGACAATGACAGTCATGGGCCCTGGTGCTACACTATGGATCCTAACACTCAGTTTGATTACTGTGCCATTAAACCATGTGGTAAGTTTGATTTGTGATGAAGAAATGGACGCTGCCTTAGTGTCTGTTCTTGGGAGCCAGCTGGTGTGATCTTCTTGCCCAGATTCTATTCCAGAGGCCAAGATTTTTCATGCCCACGTTGACCTCTTTGTGGCCAAAGGAAGTGAGGGCTTTGGCTTACCTTTCCTGTTCTGATGTAGAAGTTGTTTCTTTGTTTGCAATGTAAATTGTCTGAGCATTTGAAAGCATAGTAACAGGTGGCACATGCATTCACAATATAAATTAAACAGTCTAATACAAACATGTCAAACTCGTGACATCACGTGATGTCGCGCAACATATCGGAGTTTTTTTGCCATTGCCGGCAATGAGGTGGGCGTGGCTCCGGTATGATGAAACCGGCCTGTGGGCTGGCAGTTTGACACTCCTGGTCTAACATAACCACAATTCTCATTTCCAAGAGGGGATGCTAGGAAGATGGACAGCATATAAATTTAATAAATACGTGAATAAAATATACTAGAATATGATTTCTTGTTTATCATTAAGGTATTGATGTTTATGTTTATAATAGAATTGAGCATCTGGTTTTCCAGATGTTGCTAGATTCCAATCCTATTAACTTCAGACAGCAAGACCAGTGGTTTGGGAAAAGGGGAACGTTAATTTAACAATCTCTGGAACACCTGTTGCTTCAAATACATGCAAGGTAGTTTGTTTTTTCAAAAAATGGAAGATTTTAGGTCTTCCTTTTTTGGCTTCAAAAACAATCATGAATATGTAATGACATATGATTCTGAATGCCAAATAGGTTGCTAAAATTAATGCCTGAACTCTGGTTTGGCTAAATGCTGTTCTAGAAACTAGGAGACTCTGAGTTCTAGTCTTCTCTTAGTTGGGGAACTTTGGGCCAGTCATTCTTTCTTAGTCCAACCCACCTCAAAGTATTGTTGCTATGGGGAAAATAGGAGTTAAGAGCATTAAATATGTGAACCACCTTGAGTTGACCAAAAAAAAGATGGGTTACAAATCCAATGAATCAATGAATGCTTGTTCAACACTCTGTCAAAACAGTTTTTCTACCATCTACTGTATAAAGTGTGACAGACACTTTTCCCTCTTAAAATAATCCTGAACCAGAAGACGCCACAACAGAAACTAACAATAATTCAACTCACAATCAATTGAAGAGGTGTGCTTGTCACTCACTTAGGACAAAACACACGGTGACTTGCATTTTATAGAAACAAAAGCCTTCTACAATGAATATGAATGACTTTGGCACTTCAGAGACTGTCATGAAATAAATAATAAGTGGAACGTAAATGTGCATGCATCAATCAATGTTTTGCTTTGTTTCTACAGCTGATGACAAGAATCAGTCCAATTTGCTGAATCCAGGTGAGCTTTCTGCCAGGCATTCTCTTTGTGGTAATTTTGTGGGAAAAATAGTTTTGATGAGAAAAGGAAACAGGTACACAAGTTTTCCCTCTGCCTTTGGCTTCCGGTGACTATGTGAATAGTTAGAAAAAAGTATGTTGCTTTAAAAAAAACCCATTTAAGGACAATATGTCATGACTTGACTTTCTGGTTGCAGAGAATGTGGTTTTTGACCAGTGTGGTAGGAGGAATGAGCGAATATCATTACGGGCTCGTATTGTAGGAGGTGGACCTGGAAACTCACCTTGGACAGTCAGCATTCGCAATCGGTGAGCAGAATCTGAGTGGTGATGGGAGGTCAGGAGGTGCAAAAAAATATTGGCTACAGATACTTTACACAGAAAAGCAGAGAATGAATCCTAATGGGAGAACCATCACCTTAGTAGTTCTTTTAAAAGAAGGAGATCGTAACCCTGTGAGCAGCTTTGAACCATCAGTGTCATTACTCATTATCTTCTGAATTGGCAGCTCATAAGAGATTGCAAAATAGGAAAGTTCTCTATGCTTCCCTGGAAAACTACATGTTTTTATGAGGCTGTTTTGTGCATTTGGATCACTTTTTGCCGAAGACCAGAAAGGGGTGCATAGGGCACAACCATTGAATGCCCTATTGCAAAGCTGGATGTTGCAGATAACCTGGACCCACTCCGCCAAGAGCCAAGTTTGAGGGTTTATTTGCTCCTGTGACATGTGCCACTTTTTTGTTTTCCAGAGAAGGAGTCCATTTCTGTGGAGGATCCCTGGTAAAAGAGGAGTGGGTAATCAGCACCCGGCTGTGTTTCTCTTCCTGGTAAGCAGAGTTCTGGCAAAGCTTGTATTAGAAGTTACTTTCCCCCCTCCCCCTTTCTTGTACGTTTTTCTTTGATTTTTTTTCTTTTTTCTATCTTATTTTCCATTAATTTGTGCTAGCTTTTATCTGTTCAACGGAGTTAAAAAAAATAAGTTGTCAATTACAAATCATTTTTTTTCTTTTACATTCAGCACTTTCCCAGGCCACACAGCCATAGGGTTACTGACATTTTGTTTCTGTCTGATGTTCAAATCTGGATTATATTCAGAGGCCAGAAAGGATCTCTAAATTGCATGGTGAAGGAATTAATGGCTTTAGTTCTGGTGTATTTGAGGATTTTGTCCTTTTTATATTCTATTGAAAACGGTTTTTTTTAAATAAAAAAGATTATTTTGATTTTTACACATACTATCTATTGTTTATATTTGGAAGCACTCTTGCGGGATGTAGGTCCAAAAGTGGGATATAAATAAAATACAGTAATAGACAATGTTAAATAAATTTGTAGGCCTATATATTAAACAGCTGTCATTCACAGACACCAGAGCATAACTAGCTTTGAGTCATTGGAGTACTTTGCATGTTTAACTAAGCAAATAAGCCTGTTTGTTGTTTTGCTGAGCACTTTCTTACAGCACAGAGACAAGCGGGTAGACAAGTGGACTCAGCTCTCAGGAATGGCAATATTGTTTGCGGATTACTGAGGGTTGAAGGCCCCACTTCTAGAAGGCCACAGGGTAAAAGCTACCCCAAGAAGTAAGCGCCCCAAGTGAAGTGGCTAACCCAGTGGTTCTCAACCTTTCTAATGCCACGACCCCATAATACAGTTCCCCATGTTGTGGTGACCCCCAATCACTTATACATCACTGGGTGCCAGGGGCGTGGTCAAAGAAAAGTGGGGAAAAAATGATGGACAGCCTTGTTTGGCGACCCCTGTGAAATGGTCGTTTGACCCCAAATGGGGTCCCGACTCACAGGTTGAGAACCACTGGGCTAACCAGTCATTCTTCTGTAGTCTGAGTTCAATGTAACCAAATAACAGTTTGATTTGCTAACAGCCAGAGAACAGCCTGAGAACATATCTATAAATAAATCAATCTAAAACAAGATATGGGTACTTTCTGTGATTAGTTCTAGGTGGGGGTGACATAAATCCTACATTTAGGAGATATACTTGGTATACTTAAAATCAAAACTCATGGAGGAAGGAGTAATTGAATCAGTCTAAGTAAGCCATTTATGTGAAATTGCTTAAAATGCATATTTTTGGAAAATATTTGTCCGTGGTACGCTTCTTTCTCTTCTCTAAAGAGCCTGTGGTATTCGTATGCTCATTATCCTCTGATGTCATGACTGAGTATGGACTGAAATTTGAATCTCGCCAATCCAAGTCCCAGGATTACTCAGCTTCTGTTGTAAGAGCGATAGGAACAATTAATAGAGCGATGCATGCATGCTTCAGAAATGATTATGAAAACAAGTGCAGAGCATTGGTCCTATTTGTTGACGAGGGTATGTTATTTCCCAGGTTCTCACATCTGAAAAGAGAGCACTGCTTTAAAAATCGCTGCAGTGAATCATCTCCTAAAAACAGCAGCACTTTTTCTCAGGCTTATGCAGGAATCTGAAACAATGGTATCTGCTCTGTTCTATTGCAGAGAGGTATTATCTGGCACTTTGGTGAGGTCCAAAGGGTGCACAGACTTAGTGATCAACATCTAGGTAGGTGCAGCCAGTAGAACAGAGGCAGCAGCTAGTTGACCTTGGCTGAACTCAGAAAATGCTAAGCAGTTTAGACTTTGTTAATATTTTGATGGGAAACTATTGGGAAATCCCAAGTGATGGTCTGGATTGGAAAGCCAAAAAATTATTCGAAGAAGACAGTGATGAATCACTTCTGTATTTTTGCTATATAAATGTGACCAGTCAGCAGAACTCAAAGGAGTCTACCTTTATAGCTGCAGAAAAGTGTAAAGACAGACGGAAGTTATTCATATCCTATTAATTTTTCCTACTTAGGAAGCCTCTGTTTAGGGAAAGGCTTCAGTGACCTTGTAACCATTATTAATTCCTCTTCTTGGCAGTGATGCTGACTTAACTGGTTATTACGTCGTGCTTGGAACGCTCTTTAAGAACCCTGGTCCTAATGACCCAAACAAACAGGCCATTCCTTTAATTAAGATTGTCTGTGGTCCCTCTGAGTCACTTGTGGTGATGCTGAAACTGGAGAGGTGAGTAACTTTTCAGATATTCTGTATCCCATGTAGCATGAAAGCAACTTAGTTTACATTCTAATAGGCGAAGGTCAAGGCTTCCTCAATAGGCTCTTCTGCACTGTTATATTTTGGGAACTGCAAAATACATACTTTGTTGTAGAGAAATCTCATTGAGGTGGAGAATCAGAATGGACCCTATGAAACAAGGCAAAGGAGAGGAACATTTTCAAAATTTCACATGGTTAGCATACAATAATAGATGTAATAGCTTTGGACAACAATCTGTCAAGGTGTGTTCCACCCTCCATCCTAAGCTGTATGGTTTGTGGGGAAGGAACTGGTGAAGATGGGGGTATGCTGCAAAAAAGCTCACAAACAGAAACAATTAAGAGACATGACAGGATAGGAATGTCTAATAGGTAGACTGGATTATCCAGGGCCAAGATTAAATTTGGCAGCAATCTTACTCTTTGAAGATATTTCTTTTTTTACTGACAGGCAGCTTTCTTCCTTGAACTTTGCAGGTAATGTTTTAGATTTCTTTTCCCCAGTCAGTTCCAAGAAAATTAAATTAGAATTACTAGGTTCAGTGATTCTCAATCAGGTAAGCTGATCTCCTCACATCTCCTCTAGAAGAAACCCACCATCAAAGGCATCCCTTGTCAGAAAAATGGGAATTATGTTGACATGCTATTTATTCTTGTCTCTGCTCTTAATTGTTGATATATTCCTGCTTCAGGGACTGAATCCTACCCAAGGCTGATCTCATATTTTAAAAACCTTTATGAACAAATACATAATTGCATCTTTAGAAAATATATTCTAGTCAGCGCTGTGCTATGGGTGGCAGAGCAAAGCAGAGCAAAAACATGACGCTCGGCAGGAAATAGATATTGGCAGTGATGCTGACTCAACTTCATCAGTAGGCATTTACCCACATTATGTTACAGTGCTGCCAACTCTTCTTTGAACTGATGATTAGCTTAATATTTGCTACCCCATTGCCCATCTCTAAGTAGACTTGTTGCCTTTGTTCTGAGTTCTGCCATCTGACTTCCCCTCAGGTTACAAAGCCTAATACTATTCACCTACTTCCTTTGGATGGTATTAAAATAAGGACGGTGGTTATAATAATAAGGGCTAGGTTGACTTAAATGTGCCTTAAGCTGAGGATGAAATGAAGGCAACATGATGCGGGTTCAGTGGAGAAAGAGATAGCCAGGGCAGATTTAGGCTGTGGTTAGGTGCAAGTGGGAATTGCCCTGGGACTGAGAAGACAGAATGTACATAACTTTTTCAGAACCAGGCTTTCAGGCAAAAGGTGTTACATGCTAAAGATATTTCCCGGTATGAGGTATTTTTCTTTCTCTGATGAAAGTTGCTTTGGTGACTGAAGTTGCTAAAGAAACTGTTACACAGGAATAGTCCATTAGTAGCTTTTACAAGAAAACAGGCTTCCATGAATTTGGTTTACAAGAAGGAATTCAATAGAATAAAAACTTAAAAGGCTTGCTTCAGGTGAGATTCACAGTCCCCAAGCTTGTGATGACTCCTTGAAAACAGCTCCCTCCTACTGACGCTTTTGCTGAAGGCCTCATGCAGCAGCTATCACTGTTCATGGCAGAAAGATCAGTCATGGATGTGATGCCAGCATCAGCCGACCACCAGCCAAGCTTGGGTGTGCTTGAAATACGTCAGCACTTTGAGGTGGCTTCTGGGTACAGAACAGAGGTGTGAATTTGTTGCTTTTTGCCTGCTCTTTCTCACCACAGGCCTGCACTTCTGAATCAACGTGTGGCATTGATCTGCCTTCCACCTGAGCGTTACATTGTGCCTGAGGACACTGAGTGTGAGATTGCAGGATGGGGTAGCACCGGAGGTACAATCTGGAAAAAGGATTGATTCAGGGGATATTGAGTCCAATTGGACCAACCTCTTATTCAGGAATTCTATCTTGCTGGGACAAGGAAGTAAAAATGTGGATTTTTCCTTGGATGTTAAGTGTATGACAATTTAACCATTAGTCGTCAGGAACTGGCTAGGTGAGGGGTCCCCAACCTGTGAGCCGCAGCCCACTAGCAGCCAGTGGCCTGTTGGCCACTGGGCTATGTGAGTGGCTGGCCAATGCACTACAAGCATTGCACAGGCCTTAGTGTCACCATGAGTGTTGTGCGGGAGGTACCGTCGCCATGAACATCATGCGCGTTTGTAGTCCTGTTTGCATGTGTACATGTGCTCCTAAAGGCGCCTCCCTAGAAAGGTTGGGGACTTTTGGATTAGGTAATATTCCTCCTCACATTTTTATTCGTTGTTCAGTGAGAGAGAAAACCTGGAGCATGACTGGCAGGAATTGAAGTTTGCATGTGCAAACAAGTCACAGCCCTGACAGGATTGTACTCCACATTGTGTAGATAGTCAGCTTGTCCAGATAGAGTACAAATTGAAAAACTGAGCTATCAATTCCTTTTTAGGAATTGCTTATTTAGGTTAATGGAACTCTGAATACAAAATTTACTCCACTGACCGAATTCTAAGCAGAAATGTGACCAATGAGTTTAGGATGTTAATTGGAATAGTGTTTAATCAGTTATGAAATTTGTCTACTTTTTTAAACCAAAAGCATCTTCATATACAACATGATTGAGTTATGTTAATTCTTTGTGTTTTTTTAAATAAGGAAGCACAAAAGCCCTCTCTAAATTCTCTACTGCTGCTATGCAAATTCCAAAGGGATATGAAGTTATTAGAAAAATGAAGACATAAATAAGAATATTTTCCATATCGAGAATCTCTCAGAAAACTAATCAAGACTAAAATTTCCAATATTTTATTAACCAGATATCCTTCCAGTTAAGGATGTTCCCTATATGGAAGATTTTCTAACTATTGTATGATGCACACATTTCAATGAAACTTTATTTAGAACAGATTCCTGAACTCATATTATTAAGGTGATGAAAAATATCCTGTTGAAATATTATCAATTTGCCCTATTTGTAATTTGAGTGGATCATGGCACTACAGAGTTTGATAATTACTTATTGGCATTGTTTTTTTATTTTCATTTAAATAATACAGATTTTTAAAGGGATATTGACGTATCCTGACTATTAACTATCTTGATATTTAGCATTTTGAGAGGCTATAATATTGTTGGGATGGTTTGCCTGATGTGGGTAATAATACTGAATTGATTATTTATTAGTGTTTATATATGCCTGGCCAATAATATTGTTTACTTGGCAGTTTGTTACATAAGATGAGAAATATACAATATTATAATAATCTGCAGCACAAATATTTTCAATACAGCAAGTAGATATGAGAATAAAAAATATATACTCTAGCAAAGGGGTTGGCAACCTTGGCTCTTTTATGACTCATGGACTTCAACTCCCAGAATTCCTGAGCCAGCATGGCTCAGCTTGGAAACCCCTCCCTTTCCCCTTAGCATGGCTGGCTCAGGAATTCTGGGAGTTCAAGTCCACAAGTCATAAAAGAACCAAGGTTCCCTACCCCTGCTCTGGCACATACATACTGATTCTATGATAAAAGCTAAAACTTTTTAAAGATGCCAGCACATAAAATACTAACCACAAATAAATTACCCGAAAGTAAGACTCTCAGAGCAGCACATCATAAAGAGAGTCTCATCATCATAAAGGTCCACAACTCACACGTTATCTAGAGCTCCGGTTCTTCTTTGCACACAGGAACTGGGAATGACAATGTCCTCAACGTGGCCAGGCTGCCAGTCATGAACAATCAGAATTGCAATGTGGCCCTTCAAGGCCGTCTGAAGGACAATGAATTATGTACATCAGCACTGAAGGTTGGCGTGGGAGCCTGTGAGGTGAGCAGGACAAGGAGGTGGATTTGTATTAAACTGAATTGCTTGGCTTGCAACGAGATCAAGGTTGAATGCAGGAAAACTCCATCAAGTGACCGGTTGAGAGAAGTAAATATACAAATGAGAGGCCAACATCTAGAAAGTGAATAGCAAAGAATAGGGACAAGCCTTACAAAAAGGCCAAAAACATGGTACCTGCAATAACCCCAGTCTAAGAGGCCCACAATTTGATTAAATACGTTTATTTTTGAAAAATGGCCAATCTCCTAAATCACCTAATCTTACAATATTTTTGCAAAACATTTCAGGCTAGGCAATTCTGTGAGATTGATCTAAAAAAAAATGGACATGGGCATGGGTACTTAGGAGATTGCATGACGTGCCCTAAAGTGTTGCCAACCTCTTGTTTTTTTTTTTTAAAAAAAGATGAGCAGTGGGAAAGAGTCCCCCAAAATATAAACTGAAAAGTGAAGCTGCAGATAAATTACGGTATGTGAAGGCAAGTAGGTCAGGAAAGCTGTTTGAACAAAAGTCTGAGGTAGAAAATCAACCCATGTACCTTGTCAAGTGTTGCTGTGCTCCTTAAGCTCGGGCTTGCTTTTGACTCAAGTTGGTCTTTTGTCTGCAGGGTGATTTTGGAGGTCCTTTGGCCTGCCTGACTCAAGACTGCTGGGTGCTACAAGGTGTGATCACCCCATTGCGGGTATGTGCCCGGAAAGACGTGCCTGCCACTTTCATCCGAATCTCCATGTATGTTGACTGGATCAACAAAGTGATGAGGCTGAGCTGAGCTGATGTATATTTATCACAAAGTCACTGAACATATGGCTAAATTAATGTGATTTTAACTAAGCATAAGCTAATGTGTTGCATTATTAAATCATCCATATCCTTTTGATAGGAGTGGTTGGTTGTTATCCAAGAGTATAGCTCTTTCAATGGACATATTCATGGACAGAAACTTCAATATGTAACACTTCTACCCATAGCCGCCTCACTGGAGCAGTCCTTGACTTTACATTTAACATGGGCATTGTCTGCAATTTCTTTTTTGTCATCAGTATTAAAAGTTCAGTTGAGGCTGAATGTTCCCCAGGTTTAAGGAAATATTGCTTCCCTTAGAACATATGCACCATTTCTAAGCCCTGAAATAATTTCTGGAGATCTTCAGTGTGATTTTCTGAAAACTGATTCCTTCTCTTTTTTTGTTATCATTTGCAATCTGGTGTTCTCCAGATGTCAAAAGATTGCAACTCATAGCCAACTCCAAGGGTTCATGGGAGGTATTGTCCAAGCCAGCTGAATGTAAATAAATTCTTTATCCTCTGAACCAGCATACGAAACATCATATGACATCTTTATTTTTGCAGTCCAGACATTACCGTATATGCTGGCGTACAAGGCGACATGGCGTATAAGACGACCCCCGTCTTTGTCGGCGAGCCGCATTCCTAGAACGTCGTCTTATACGCCGGAAACTACCAGTATTTCCGGCGTATAAGACGACTTGGCGTATAAGACGACCCCCGTCTTTGGCACCGATTTTAGCGCTTGAGGAAGTCGCCTTATACGCCGGCATAAACGGTAGGTTTTTTAAAAATGTTAATGATTAATGTATTGATACATTATAGTTCTGTTAACCTATATGTGGTTCAAGTTTTTTTTCACATCTGAAATGACATTTTTGTAATCCAGGAAAACCTGATAGTTTTTCTATCTTAACAGCATAATATTTCTGTTATTCTCTGAAACACTACTTCTCCAATAACATATAAATTATAGCCATTACAAATGATTGTACTGCATTTTATCTCTTTTATGTAATCACAGTTATATTGTTTGTAGCAACTGCATGCCAAATGGCCATTCTTACAGAGGCCAAAATTTTGATATAAGAATTAGTACTGCTGTCATGTTCATTGTAATATCACTCATATCATTAAAGAAATCCTGGTTTTGGAAATAAGATGTAGGATGATTTGTAGAAGTTCACCAAGGATTTTGGACACCAAAATCTTCTCTTTAAAAAGCCAGTATTTGTGGAAATCCAGCAGTAGAGTATATTGGTTACCAATCAGTGAATATGTTGAGACAAACTCAGTATATCTTTAGTTACAGTTTCCTTTCACGGCTCTGTACTGAACTTTATCGCTGATCATTATTTTCAATTCAACAAATTGAAATTCTCTCAAATAGATAAAATTAAAGACAATTCTAACCATGTTCTGGTTAAAAATGCCTTAAGCACTAGTCTTATTGTATTTCCTCCCAGTACCAGATGTTAGGAACAGAAACAAGTCATAGCAACTAAATTGCCCCCTAACCAAATTAAATATTTGCCTCACAGTATTACTCACAGTACAGTATTTAAAATTGTGGATCAATGTATATTCAAAGAAATATACAGAATATACAGAAAGGTGATTTGGAATGTGTGGACAACTGATGTCACATTTGTCACCATCACTTTAAACCAGTGGTTCTCAACCTTTTTAATGCCGCGACCCCCAACTGGTCGTAAGTCGAGGACTACTCAACTAGTGCAGCACCGTTTGCAGAATGGGACTTTTGGCGGGCTCAGCACGGCAGAGACAGCCTGGACAATTCCTATTGGCTTTTGAAAGCCAATAGAATTAGACTCTATTTAAGAGAGTCTATTCTATTGGATTTCAAAAGCCAATAGAATAAAAGGGAGTAGCACAGCTAAGGAAAAGGGGAAAAAAATGGCGGACTACGTTGTTTGGCGACCCTCGTGAAATGGTCGTTCGACCCTAAATGGGGTCCCGACCCACAGGTTGAGAACCACTGCCTTAAACCATATGTGCCTGGATCTTGTGCAACTCCAGGAAAAAATGCAGTTTCAAGAATTTACTGACTGATAGATCATGAGCAGACCTGAGCATGTCAATTCATATTTTTTGCTTCAAAAAACAAACAACAAAGCAAAAACAAAACAACAATCCTACTCTCCACTGGCATCTCAATTTCAAAGAAGGAAATTCCAGCCCTATTTGGAGATACCAGATGAGTGCTCTTTTATCCTACCAATGGACAGGAAAGTCTGTTTCCAAAGGAATAAGAAGAAAGAAGATTTTTTTCAGTGTAAATTAAGCTGCTGCTCCTGGGTATACTCAAGATCCCTCTTGCTTCCGATGCTTTCTTTTCCTCTTAACATTAACTTAAATACAGACATGTTTAAAGGTTGGAAGGTGGTCAAGATTATAGATTCCTCCTATTCGTCATCTAGAATGGACCTTTCAAGAATGAGAACTACTGCCAATCAGTGGTCTCCCAACTCTCCTCAAAGATGGACCAAAAGAAAAATACGGTTGACGGTGTCAAAAACTGCTGAAATCAAGGATAAAGTTTCATTATCAGATACAACCCACAAAAATACTGTTTTTGTGCTATATCCTGACAGCCAAGTGTCCATCTGCTTCCTCTAGGATCCTTCCTCACCTCAACATTGCCCTTCTGTTTACTCCCAATATTGAGTCAGCATAATCATACATCACACTTGGACCTTGCTTTCTGTCTTCTTCAGAACTTTCCCCTATTTTCCTCAACCCCACCAAGATTCATCTCTTGTGTGAGATGATATTACAGCTTCATAAAAGTCCATCACTGGTGAATGAATTTATCATTAATATCTATGGTAAACATAAATATTTTTGCAGTATATCCATGTTTGTTGATACAGGAAAATGGTAGGCATTTTCCATCAGAAGTTCCTAAAAGCAACAAATATTTAATCAGAGAACTGGGAAAGAATAAAAAGTCTTGTATTTATTTATTTGCTTGTTTATTAAATTTATTTGTCATTCATCTCTTGGTTCAGGCAATTCTGGGTGGATACCATTAATCATTAATTAATCATCAAAATATCATTACTGCCGAGTCCTGCTCACATATAAAACCCACTAAAAAGTATTCAGTTGCAAATGAGAAGCCTTATTGGAGAATTTCCTTTGGATTATGGCAGCATATCCATTTATTCAAATAAAAAGTTGGCTTGCTTGATTATATCAGTTAGCAATCAAATAGCAGGGCTTTTTTGCAAGGCCAGTTATCAGAAATCCATTTTTCAATCAGAATTAGGATTTGAGTAGATATTTGTAACATTATCAGCAGAATTCCTCAAAAACATTCTGAAGGGATTATCAGCAGGGAAGAATTTTCAGATGCCCACAATCTGATTACATGTTGAGGTGCGGAAAAAGAAACTCCTGTCACGTTTATACATAAACACCGTTTGCTTCTCAGCAACTTGGTTGTCTTCATATTTAGTTGGCAGTTGACTTTCAATCTACCTTTCTGGAAAGGTGATGTATGATCCACTGGGCACAGTTCATAAAGACATCTGCTTCAGCTACTACTCCACTTAAGGCATGATTCTCTTCTGGATACCACATCAGTCTGTAAAAAAAATACCGTAAAGTATTTTGCAAAATACTTTAAATACTTTGTTATAAGTATCACTGTTATTACAAGGCAATTTTTCGTTAACAGTTCTTTGGCATATTTTAAAAATATCCCTTAACTACTGTGGAAAATTCTTTGCTTTGACTGACAGTAAAGACAATACAGTACTGACAGTACACTCATTTTAAAATAAATACATGTCATTTATTTTTTAAAGAAGCTATGCCAATCTATTCTTACTGTCAACTTCTCTGTCATCTGTCATTGCCAAAGAGGTTCCCTGCCTTTTTACAAGGGGTTGTCTCTTCAGCATTCGCTGTTATTCCATCTATCTGATTTGGTTTGCGATTTGAATAATTTAAATTGCAAACCAATCTAATTTTAAAAATATTGAAGGATCCCTGTGTATGATTCGTCAGCATAATTAATTGTAATAAAATTATCTGATAAATAACACACACAAGGAAGTTGGACACTTAGGCATATAATTTTCCTGCTGTTCTTGTTTTCTAAAAAAAAAAAGCCTATAGCAGCAGATTGCAGCAACTTGTCATTTGTGTTCTTTGTGTATAAACTCCATTGGTTCTACTTGCATTTGGTTGGATCAATTTACAATATAATCTCTGATGGTGCCTGCTACTCTGCAGTCTTCCTAGCTTGTAAATTTGAGGATATGGACAAAGAATTGAGAGATAAATATTATTAAATCAATGCTGTTCATGGCTGATCAAATTATCCAGGAAAGGATTGAACCCCTAATTAAGGGAGGGAATCAATGTCACCACATAAATGGGTTATGTTCCCTGTGTCTAATACTTCAACTGAAGAAACCCTTGCCTTGACTCTTATTATTATTGATCTGTGTAATGTAATTCAAACATTCCATCCCTGGGAAAAGAAACTGAGAAAATTGTGGTCTTTATGTATTTATACAACACGCATCTAGATATTGCTGATTATATATGCCTATATGCATGGAAATGTTGCTGATTAGTAGGGCCCTTTTCAACCATGCTTTCAGCCAAGACATAATATTGAGTGACTTAGTAGATAGTTTATGCTGATGGAAACCCTAATATTTCTCCTGGATTTCTCACTACATTTAATCCCATTGATCATGATATTCTTCTAGAGAGTCTGGAACTAGGCCTCAAGTATTAAGTCAGAGGTTAATGCTGGAGGAATGCTGTTGACCCCTTGCCCATTTATTTGTAATGTCCCACAGAATTCAATTTTGTCTCCCATGCTAGTCAATGTCAACAGACAATTAGTGGAGAGATCATCTGGAATCTTGGAGTGGGATTCCATCTAATACAGTGGTTCTCAACCTGTGGGTCGGGACCCCATTTGGGGTCAAACGGCCATTTCACGGGGGTCGCCAAACAACACAGTCCGCCATTTTCCCCCCTTTTCCTTAGCTGTGCTACTCCCTTTTATTCTATTGGCTTTTGAAAGCCAGTAGAATAGACTCTCTTGAATAGAGTCTAATTCTATTGGCTTTCAAAAGCCAATAGGAATTGTCCAGGCTGTCTCTGCCCTACTGAGCCCGCCAAAAGTCCCATTCTGCAAACGGTGCTGCACCAGTTGAGTAGTCCTCAACTTATGACCAGTTGAGTAATCCTCGACTTACGACCGGTTGGGGGTCGTGGCATTAAAAAGGTTGAGAACCACTGATCTAATACTTCCAGGGCATACTGATGCCTCTAAGATGTATTGTTGTTTACCATCCAACACCAAGAAGCATAAACAATGTCTATGTTCCAGAAAGGCCTGGGTGAATGATACACCTTCTAATTAAATGAAAACAAGAGGGAAGTGCTGTTGGAAAGAAGAAACTGGATACAGTATTAAGTTTTGGCTTGTTTTACATAGGGCAGTACTAAAAGTGAAAACACAAAATCTTAGGTGTTTCTTAATCCTATGTTGTCACTGAATTTACAGAGGATAGCTGTGGTGAGAAGCACATTTGCCCACCTATGGCCAGATCTGATTTTGCAATTCTTATTCTTGCCTAGATCAGATCTTGTCTTGATTCCGACGTCACAATTTTGCATGTGGCAACACT